AAGGCAAGCTACAGGCTTTTAAATTTGATATAATCTTGTTTGTTGAAACTTGGTATTAATTCTTGTGCAATTGTTTAAAAAGTCCTTGCTTATGTATATGTCTTTAAGAGTTACCAATCTTTTCTTCCAACAGATTTAATGATTTTAGGTTTTGATATCTAGGCCTTTGGTCCTTTTTAATTATGTTTTAGTACCAGATGGGAAATATGGCTCTAAATTCATTCTTCTACATGTGGCTAATCAGTTCTGCCAGCATGATTTTTTTTAAGAGGCTAATTTTTCCAGTGTATTTTTTACTCTATTGTCAAAAATCATATGGCTGAGGTATTTGGGATCATCTCTCCATCCTTAATTCTGTTTCATTGTTCGATGTGTCTGTTTTGTGCCAATATTGTGATGCTTTTGTTATTATAACTTTGGAGTATAAATTGATGTCCAGGATTGCAATGACTCCTGCTTTGCTCTTGCTCAGGACTGCTTTGCCTAGTCTGGATCTCTGCTTGTTCCATATGAGTTTTAGGATTGTTTTTTTCTAATTCTGTGAAAGATGCAGTTAGTATTTTGGTTGGAATTGCCTTAAATCTATATAACATCATTAGCAATATGGCTATTTTGGCAGTATTGGTTTTGCTTAACTAGGAACAGAGAATGTGTTTTAATATTTAATGACCTCTTTAATCTCTTCTTTCCAGAGTACTACAGTTTTAATTTTTTAGGTATTTTACTTCTTTGTTTAGTTTAATTCCTAGATTTTTAATATTTTAATCTATTGCAAATGAGATTATTCTGACATTTTATTGGTGGATTTATTATTGGTGTATAAGATCATTACTGATTTTTTGGGTGTTGATTTTATATCCTGTCACTTTGCTGAATTTATTAGTTGTAAGGGTCTTCTGGTAGATTTTTTGGCTCTTCTATGTAAATGATCGTGTCATTTGCATATAAGAATAGTTTGACTTCTTCCTATCCTGTTCACTTATCTTTTATTTCTTTCTCTGGCATGATTTCTGTGGCTAAAATGTCTAGTATTATTTTGAACAGGAGTGGTGAATGCAGACACTCTTGTTTTGTCCCTGATTTTAGTGGGAATGGTTTCAGTTTTTCCCCTTTAGTATGGAATTTTCATGAATGGCTTTTATCTATCAGAGGTAGGGTACTTCTATAACTATTTTAAGCAGAGACCCTGGAGGACTAGAGTCACATTAAAAATAGGCGGGGAGATGGATGGGTGCATAGAGAGAAAGTAGAATATGGGTGGAGAGATAAAAGACACTATAAGGTGACAGGAAGATGGTATGGTAGGCAGCAGGCTTGCAATGTTGCCTTTCTCTCCACAGGCATCTTGATAACTTCCAAAAATGAAAAAGGATCCCACTCACTTTCCTTCTATTTCTTTTGTTAGTACATGTTTTCAGTACACAATAATCACGTTGTTTGGGAGAGTTAGTATAGTACATGCACAGAACACATCTCAAATGTTTTTTATCCTCTTCTCCACTCCTTTATACCCCTGCTCTTCATTTTTTTGTCTTTTGGAGACAGGGTCTCACCATGCAGTTCAGGCTGACCTCAAACTTTCAACGATCTTACTGCCTCAGCCTCCTGAGTGCTGGGGTTACAGGTGTGCACCACCATGCCCAGCTCTTCATTTTGTTATTATTATACCCTTATCATTTGCAAAATGTATATCTCCCTATGTCCTTCAATCTTATTTTGCTTTTTATCTTTTGGGTTTTTCATACAAAAGGAACCAATATTTGCAATATTTAAGATTGTATGTCTGACTTATTTCCTCAGAATTATGTTTTCTAGATGCATCCATTTTCCTACAGATGACTCAAGATTCTCTTTCTTTATGGCAGAGTACTACTACTCCATTGTGTATAAATACCACATTTTCTTTATCTACTGATACACATATAGGCTGCTTCCAAGATTGAGCTATTGTGAATGTGCTGCTAGAAACATGGGTATGCATGTATCATCATATGATGTCATTAGCTCCTTTGGGAAGACATCGGGAAGGGGAATATCTGGGTAAATGGAATTTATAGTTTTAGTTTTTTTGATGAATCTCTATATTGATTTTCATAGTAATTGTAATAGTTTATTCTCTCCCTAACAATGTGGAAGGGCTCTCCCCCCTCGCCCTGCAGTCTTGCCAGCATTTGTTATTACTTGATTTCTTGAAGATAGGCACTCTTTCTGGAGTAAGTTGGAAGCTCAGTGTTATTTTAATGTGCATTTCTTTAATGGTCAGAGGTGATGAACATCTGGTGGAGTGGCTATATTGCCAAATTTTAGAAAAGTGCCTGATAAACAGTGGAGATTCAACAAAAACTTGAAGGATGAACGAATGCATGGGCAAACAGAAGAGAGGAGAGACTCAGTGGATAAACAGCTCATATACCTGCTTCTGTCCCTTCTGCACCTTGGAGGCCTTTGGCATTTGGGCTTTGTGGGACACCACTGTGTTCCCAGCCTTCTTTTGTCTCTCTGCAGTTGTGTTGATGGTTCGCCACCTTGGATTCACTCTGTTAATAACCACTTAGCCTCTCCTTTGAGAAAACTGAGACCTCAGTTCCCAGTAAATGCCTATCTCCCAGCGTTTTCTCAGATCAGGGTCACTTGCTGAGCCTCTCTGCTTATTTCTTACCTTGTGCTGAATCCCTACCCCACAGACTGGCAGTGCAGAAACTCAGCACTGTCCTTCTGTATTCCTCACACTGCTCCTTTCTTACTTCTCTCTGTCACTCTACAGCCCTGTTCTAGGCTTTGTGCTGAGTACTGGTGTACAAGGAGGGGACGATGTGCTCAGCAGAGCTCCTAGTACAGGGTGTTCTGCAGGAGAGATGGGAAGTAAACATACCTTGATTAACAGGACAATTCAAACATGACATGATGGACATTGGCCAGGTGTTCTTTGTCCCAGTTCCCCAAACTTTCAACCTATAAATATCCTCTTCTGGAAATGCCTTCAGTCTTGGAAAAACTAGGCCAGTTGATCCTCTACCTGAAATCACTACAAGGCTGAGATCTCTGAAAACTAAGATATCTGAATCTCATCCTGCCAGTGCCTGAGTTATAACACAGATTAAATTCTCAACCTTTCACAGTATCTTCTACTGAAGTGAGAGAAATGATTGGGAAGTAGTGGGAGTTTAAAATTTGAAATGGGTATATAGAAAAGGAGTCAATGAATTTGGGAATATAAGCTCCTAAATTCTGCTTGTGTATGTACTTCAAATATACACATTCTGGAACCAGAGAAATAACCTGAGAATGGTTTTGGTGTACAGTACCAGCTAGGTGGCAATACCTTTCAAGGCTGGGGAAAATTTGTATAGGAGGGTGTATATGGTATAAAGTAATGCCTGTTTCTCCCCAGAACCAGGATTCTTGCATCCAGGAATCAAGGTGTGGAAATGGGAATGGCACCACTTTGTATTACACTTAGTGATCCAATAGCAAAATTGTTATGGCCTGTCCTACAAACTTGTTCTCTGTTGGGCTAGAGGTCTTTGTTCCAAAGGGAAAAATACTTCCACCAAGACTCAGTAATTGTTCTGTTGACCTTGACGGCAATACTGCTGATTTGCCACCCTGGCTACTCATGTCTCTGAATCAGAAAGTTACTGTGCTGACTAGGTGACTGATCTTTGTTCTCACGGTAAACTATGTAGGGTCTTTACCAAGAAAAGGGAGGAACACAGGAGATATCATGGGGCATCTCCTAGTACTAACACACCCTGTGATTAAAGTGAATAGAAATACAACAACCTGTTTTAGGCAGAACTGTGAACGGCCCAGAACCTGCAAGGATGTTGGTTTTGGTCACCCTACCAGGCAAAGGCAGTGTGATTGCTGGGGGCAGAGGGTGTACAAAATGGGTAGTGGAAGAAGACAGTTATGAATGCTACTGTGGCCAAGTGGGAAGTGGCAGAAACAAGAACTGTCTGTCATCTTACTTTCGTGTGTGTGTGTGTGTGTGTGTGTGTGTGTGTGTGTGTGTGTGTGTGTTTTCTGAGACAGGGTCTCACTATGTCATTCAGTCTGGCCTTGAACTCACTGTGTGGTCTGGGCTGGTCTTGAACTTGTGGTGATCCTCCTGCTCAGTTTCCCAAGTGCTGGGATTACGGCATGTGTCACCATACCTGGCAGGATTGTCTTTGTTAAGTGTACTGTCTCTTCGTCTTGTTATGGATATGTTTGTGTGTGTGTGTGTATCAGATTTTCCCTTCCCTCTAACCCATTCACATCTAACATGAAATGCACTGCTAATATTTAATGTTCATTATATCACACGAAAGTCACAGAATCTGAAGGAGAAGAATGAACATTGTGCTGTGATTTTACATTGTCTTAAGAGAAAAAGTTAGAGTACTTTTAATACTATGCAGGATAATTGGCAGAGGCATAGTTTTCTATAGGATTTAAAATAACCTCAGGGTGGTTTGGGCATAGAGCAAATCTTTGTTTACAGATTCAGTAGGTGGATGAAGATGTGTATGAATGCCAAGTTGGCAAGACTGGTGTGCAATGCTTAGTTGATGATTTAGAGGTGGCCTAATTTAAGCGGTCTTAATTCAATCACTGAAAGGCTTTGTGAGCAAAGTTCTAGAAGCTGGAATATGGGGGAAAATAGATTCCCCTGACAGCTTCTGCAACACCTGGTTTGGGAAAGCCATAAAAGATACCTGATCTTCAGAGCTGTAAAACTACACATCTTTGTTGTTTTAAGTCATTAAAGTGGTGGTATCGCTCTGCAACAAAATAGGAAGATCACGCAGGCACAGACTAGCAGAAGAAAGGGAAAAGGTAAGTGAAGGGTCATGCAGACTAGAGGGCAGGCGGGAGATCAGGAAACAGGTGAACAGTCAGAGATGCTGGCTGGTCTGAGCAGACAGAAAGACAAGCATGTAGGGAAAAAAAGAAAGAAAGAAGGACAAGAAGCAGGACAGCAGGTGGTTGGGAAGAAAGGTGAGCAGATAAAAAGCCAGGGGGAGATGGTCTGGGGATGCACACAGGTGACAGGAAGACAAGGTGACAGGCAGCAGGCCCACAGAGCTGTCCTTGGCTCCACCCAGGTTAGGAGAGCTTCCTGAGCTGGAGGTGGATCCCATTCTTGGACTTCAGTAAAGCTTGTGGCACAGGGAGGGGGATCCTGGTGGGATCTGGCAACAGCTCAAAGCGGAGCAGAGTCAGGGCCACGGCAACCTTCATTTCATTCATGGCAAACTGTTTTCCAATGCAGTTCCTGGGCCGGGAAGAACCAGTAAAATGAGACATTACTTCAGATTTCCTTCTCAGTGGGGCAGGGATTGGCCCCTGATCTTTGTTTAGGGTCCAGAGCTGGCATTCAGGGTCCTGCTTCACAGGCCCCTCTCTCTCAGCCCCTTTCTTTACAGTCACATACACCTCTATTCCAGGCATTGGTTCATGTTCTCCTAACTTTTGAGGAGGACTCCCAGTCATCCAGAGCTATTGCTAACACCATGCTTGCTCTCAGAGGTGTGAAATCTCTGTTAGGACAGGGTCCGCACTCTGAGGGACAGAGCTCCATCCAGTGAACCATTTAATCATTGGTTTAGTTTACTCCCTGCACTAAGGTTTGCAATTCACTTGGAGACGACTGGTTAGGGATATCTGGGAAGAGGTCAGTCACACTACCAGGGACCTTGATGGCGACAAAGGACTTATGACCATGAGAGGGGAGCCAAACGTCAGGTGCAGCACCAGAGTTGACATCTTCAAGTCGCAGCCCCACCTGCCCGTCACTCAGACAGAATTCAGACTCCTGCCTGCCCCTCAGCAGCTCAGTTCACCAGCATCTATAGTCTTCCAGTTCTACTCCAGAAATGTTCCTGTTTAAAATCTTTAGTTTCCTCTCCCAGGCTCCTCTGGTTTCTCTGTCTGCTCTTCATCCTGAAGCCATGGTTCAATTCAGACATCTCTTTTCATAAATGTAAGACTGTATTCAAATGCATCAGCTGAGTTACCACCTCCATGGGCTGCTGCCTCACCCATCTCTTGCCTATCCATGACCACTTCTAGCTAAGCTTCTGTTGATGAGGTCACTGAGTGTTTCCTTCCACCACCTCTGCCTAGTCAATGCTCAGACCAGTGACCAGCTGATCCTTACCATTCTGCCACTGTTCCTCTCCCTACCCAGTCACACACACACACACACACACACAAACCAACCAGTGCTTTACTCAAGGACATACCAGTGTGCAAAGCCTAGGACAGCGCCAGTAACTTGGACTATTCCATAAAATGCTTAATGAGTAGTGAGTTAGTGATGGATGAAGGAAGGAATTCTGGGTCAGGTATATGTATCTGATTCTGTACAACAGCTTTCTGTTGTTCTTGAACCAGGGGTGGAATAGTACATCCTTGTGTTTCTATGTCCTAGTATAGGACTTAGCACAGAAAAACATACCTTTTAAGTCACTGCATGTGAATTAAGTTCATTAAATTGAAAAGAATGCATTTAAATACACTAAATGTCAATATTAGTTCTACTTAGGAACTGATCAATCTATACCTATCTGTCTTCTGGTGTCAGCACAATTACTTGAGGCCAATGACTAGGAGAAAGTACTCAGTCCTGCGACGAACCAAATATTGGAAAGCCAATTTACAGATGAGCAATTTGTTCAAAGCCTAATCTATGAAAGTTGATTTAGCTTTTGAAGAACTCACATAAACACGATCTTGAAAATCCTTGTTTCCACTAATATTTACAAGGTTTATGGCAATTCATAGTCCACAGGACAAGTCCCCTAGCCTTTGTGAATTATCACAGCAGCCCTTCGGAGTATACTCATCCATCCAGCTCTAACGCTGCTTCAGGTGGTTATATATTGCACACCTCAGAAACCTTTCAAAGGTTATGTGTCATGTACAAAATAGTGGATTTTAGAAGGGAAAGAAGGAGAAATTTTGTATGCATGTATATGCAGGATAGTTAACATAGTTGTTCTACTGTCTTCTATTTCTTTGCTGAAAGAAACTGTCAATGAGTCCTTGATTGATCAATATTGCATGTCTCTATCTGTTTTCATGAGAAACCACTTTGAAGATATCAATATGTAATACAACAAGCATTGTTAATTCCCTACCACTTTGTTTGTAACTCTGTATTGTCTGTACTGTTCTTTTGCTATTTTGTAAAATGTTGTCTGCTGTTAATGTTTTCCTCCTTTTATTTATAAAAAAAAAAACTAGTGGATTTTCTCTCAAAGGCAATCTTGAAGGTTTTTGACTTGTTGGGCAATATGGGCTCTAGGTGGAATTTCAAGGTATATTCACAGCACTTCATATTTCTTCTTCTGACAACGGAGAAAGTTCTAAGAATGTGAGCATTAATATATAGTCAAAAATTATGTTGAGAGAGACTGCAAACGTGTAAAGCTTTCAAAAGTCTACTGTAACCTTTCAGTATCTGGCTGAACCACTGGCAGTGGCTGGGATTCCCAAAAACAGCCCAGCACACTAATCACTTGCTGAACTAATGTGAGGATTAGTGAATGAACCAGAAAGCACAGTGCTGGCTTGAGAACGTGTGGGAAGAAAGGAATTTACCATTTGAGGTACCTGGAAATCAGAAAACACAACACCTGAAGTTAGTGTTGCCAGTTTCATAAAATCATTGCCCTGACATGACTCACTGAAGTCGGGAATGTTTGCTGACAGAGATTTGGCTGTCTACCAGAAAAAGCAAATGGCCAGTGACTCTGTGGTGTGCCCTAAAATACCCTCTTTCTTTTGTGGACACACACACCCACATGAGGCTTTTTCCCTACAAGAGCCAATAAAGTAAACACACCTGAAGATGCCATTTATGAGTGTGGAAGGTCATAAACAGCAGGGTATGCTACAGGTATTACCCCCGTTGCCCCATTACCCACACAGGATACCTTACCTTGATCCTCCTGAGAAGGGCAGGTATGAGTGGCTATGTCGGGCAGAATGTTGGGCAGAATCGGGTGCAAATCGGGAAGGGTCAAACACCTGCAGAGAGAGAACCAGGGCCAGGACAGGTAAGCATCAACCCCTCGCTTCCAAACTACAAAGAGAAAACCCAGAGGCAGGAGTGGGAGGAGGTGTTGGAGCTGAGAACCGTTCCCTCCCCTCCCATCCTCTCAGGGTCTTCATACCTCAGGGTTTGGCCACACTTTTGGGTTGTGGTGAAGAGCATAGATGGAGATCGTGATTATTACACCTGTGGGGCACGTAGGAGAAAGAAAACTAATTATGCCCATGGGGTGAGTTCCGGGTTCTTAGCCAGCAAGGGACATACATGTCCAAAAGGTCTGAATGCCACAAATGGTCACTTTGAGCAGATGATCCTGTTATGAGGGGTGTAGAGGGCTTGGCAGAGCACCTGGGCATAGGGAGGAGCAGAAAACAATGGTACAAGAATGAGAAGCAAGACAGTATTGGATGTTTGGGCTTTGCAGTAATTCAGGTGAACCTTGCATTCATCAAATGTCTTCCATAAGTCTTTAGAGAACAGAAATTTAGTTACTTACTATTACCCTCCAAGGAAGGCACTTGTATATTTCCATTCTTTGGATAAGAAACCAGAGGCTCAGAGAGACTGAGCAATTTTTCTATGATGACTCAAACAGAATATGACAGTGTAGAGGTTAGACCCAGTGGTAGGTGAGGCAATGGTGTCTTTTTAGTATGATAGGGGATTCAAATCTGACCATCAGCTGGTCTCTGGCATCCATCTGAAATCTCCTCAGATACTGAACTACATCTGACCCTTAATACAGATTCTCTGATTTCACTCATTTGCCTTGGCCTAGGAAAAAAATGGTGTCTCCTTCTGCCCCTGTCTGATGCTCTCCATACTTCAGAAAATGAAAAATGTGGATCTCAAGTCCTGAAAACGTATCTGGAGGCCATAGTTGTGAGTATCCATGTGGAGAAGTTTCTGAAGATTGAGTCTTCCCTCAATCTTCTTCCACATATCACAATGCAGTTATCTACACATTCTATCAAATACAAAGAATTTTTAAAAGTGTGACAGTGAAGATAGAAGTGGTCTGTGTGTACTGTAATCTCTGTATCATGAATTAAAATCTAGAATGTTAGAATAAAAAATTCTGTCAAAATAAATGGAGGTGACTGTAGTCATAAGACCCTGAACTCTAAAAGTGATTGAGCATTAGCCCTGGAGAATGAAAGGAACTTCTGATTCTATTCCTGGGAAGTTACAAAACTGAAAAAGATATTACAGGTGATTTACATCAATGGCCCCAAATAAGAAAGAAACATTCTTCAGGTGTTCAAGGGGAATCAATGTTAATTTTGCTGTGGTCCAGCCATGTGCCACCACTTTATAAACATCATCTGGACTACAGAATAAGCACTAACTTACTGACAAGGAAAGAAAGACTTAGTCAGGCTCAGAACTGCTGAAGCACACATGCATTTCTGATAGTCCCTTGTCCCTGTGGAGAGCCTAAGTGAGTCTGGGAAGGTCATACCTTTGGGTAAGGAGCGCCCATCAGGGAAGGTGACAGGTTTGCTGAGCTCTCTGCCCACATTGAACACTGGTGGGTAGATCCTCATGGCCTCCTTGATGCACATGGTGGTGTAGGGCATCTGATCCAGGTGGTCCCTGAAATGAAGCCATCCTGAAGGACAGGCAAAATCTGAACAGACCTGAGCCTTCCTTCTACCAGAGAGGTTGTGCCCCTCCACACCACTTGAGTTCTCACTTACCAAGTGATAGAGGACCCATCCCCAAGTAGGCTCTGGACCTCTTCCCTGCACTTCTGTTGGTGCTTGGGGTGTGCAGCTAGAGCATAGAGAATCCAGGAGATGCCATTGGCTGTGGTGTCATGGCCCTCGAACATGAACGTGTCCACCTCAGCGCGCAGGTCCTCATCAGATAGTCTGCTCCTATCCTCGTTCTGATGAATACCACAGTTAGAGATGAGGGAATGTCCCTCACTCTGCTTCTGGGCAGACTCAGGCCTCTCCCATAGATGCTTACCTTGGCAAAAAGAAGGATGTCCAGGAAATCCAAGTGTCTCTTCCTCCTGACCTTTTCTAGTTCTCCCTCCTCCTGCAGCTGAGCCTTCCTCTGCTTGATCACTCGGTCTACCCCAGGACAGAAGTTAACTGGTGAGCTGAGAGCTATAGCAACCCACAGTAGCCCCATGCCCCTTCCTCACTACCTCATCTTGGCACCCTGTAAAACTCAAGATGGGGGTGGGAGTAGTTGTATAGGTTAGAGTTGGGAGTTGAGCATCATCTGCTGCATGTCAGTTCTCTCCTTGCAAACACAGTCCATGGGAGCTCTGCTTGAGCTGCTGGGATGGGTCTCATTTTTCATTCATCACCAGAATGATGGCACGATCAACCACCTGTATGGTGCCTGGCACCTTGATATCTCAGCTCTCAACACCTATACTAAGTATCTAAAATGAATGTGTCTCAAATACTTCAGAGCCACCTAAGTGGTCTGGCCCTGCCTGAGAAGTCATGGCCAGCTTGTTTGGTCTCAACTTGGGAAAGGAAGGGCTATAGGAAGAGGTGACAGAACCTGTGTGCTCATGAGCTATTTGGCAGTTGCGTTTGGCCCTTCGGCCCTCAGGGGTTAGCCTGTAGATGGTGTCGTTCTGGTGAAAAACATTCTTCATACGGGAAGACATCAGTTTGGTCAGGTCATCAACAGCCTGGATATAGGACTGGGAATTCCTAAAGAAGAAGATTAAGACATTTACAAGGTGGAAGGTCAGATCTGGAGGCAGAGTGGTGATTCCTTCAATTGTGGGAATATTAATACTGGAGCACACATTACTTCTGTCTTGTAGCCCTCATGACCATCAAACTTCCATGTGTAAACATTGTACTGTCTCATTAGTGTAAGAATTTGAAAGAATAAATAAAACCCAGAAGGTACTATAGATATTGTGAAAGGGAAAGAAATTGCTCAAAGACAAGGAACAACTGGGATGAGGGAAAGGAGAAAAGAAAGAAAGAAGGAAGGATATAGATAGATAGATAGATAGATAGATAGATAGATAGATAGATAGACAGATATAGATACATAGCTGGAATAATTGTACTGCTGATGTCTAATGGTTTATTGAAAGGAACAGTTAATGCTTAAATTTTTTAAAACAGTTTTACATGCTTATAACTGGTAATCTGGACAACTAATTTGAAAGCAACAATATGCAATATAACAACCGCTGGTGAATTCCTACCACCTTGTTTAGCGAAGCCCTGTATTGTTTCTAATCTTTTTTATTACTTTTTATTACCTTTAATTGTTTGATCAGTCTTGCATTCTTATATCTGGTAATCTGAGCAACTTTGCTGAAGATGACAATATGTAATATAACAACCATTGTTAATTCCTATCATTTCGTTTTGAAATCTTATATTGTTTTTATTGTTTTTGTGTTGTTTGTTTTCATCTTTGTTATTGTTATTTTGTTATTGTCTTTTATTTTCTTTAAAAAAAAATGGCATGAATAGGCAAGATTCTGCTTATGTTAAGGATCACAGGGATGTGGCTAGGGCAGAGTTTGGTTCAGAGAATTAGAGCTTGGCCTGTAGCTAAGGTGAGAATCTTGCTTTGTGCGGAGGTGAGGTGGGGAACCGGAGCATAGAGAATTCAGGAGATGCCGCACCTGCCCCTCTTTTGGGTCCACATGAATTGGTAAGAACAAGGTAGCTAAACGCCTTCTACTGACCTGTCCAACTGGACACTACCCTGGTGGCTGAAGGCACACTTCATGATGGTGTCCAGGGTCATTAAGGAGACATATTGAAAGATTTCCAACGGGGAGTCTTCAGTGCTGAGCTGCTCCCATTTGTCCTGTGGTAGGAAGTAGACACCATTTCATTTCCCCCCAGAAAACCTGTGCTGCCATTTCAGCTCTCCTGTATACCTCTAAATCGTCTCATTGGATTTCATCATTTTATAAACCTAGGATGTACTGCAGCAAATTAAGGCTCTAAAGCATGTGTTTGCAAGCTTATGCCTATTTTCTTACAGTCTACTATTCTAAAGTTCAACATGTTTTCTAATAGTAGTCTTAGGTTTGAACTTTATGAAGAAGTGATTATGAGAATTATCTTTTTGTTTTGTTTTGTTTTTTGTTTATCTTCTGGTACCAGGAATCGAATTCATGACCTTGTACTTGCCAGGCAGGTGCTTTGCCGCTGAGCTAAATCCCCAGCCCTGAGAATTATCTTTTGATCATTATTTTTCTGGTAAGTCAGAAAACAGGTTTTGGAGAACACGGAGCAGGAGCACTCATTGTTCTGAGAGCTGAGCAAGGCAGGAGGGTGTAGGATCCCATCGGAGGGAATAAAGGTCCATGGAAATATAAAGCCCACAGTACCAGGATATGACATCTAAGGGAGCTATATCAGGGATTTTAACTACTCTTTTTTTTTTTTTGCAAATTTTGCTGAGCACATTTTGGCAGCAAAACAAACAAAAAAGTCATGATGAGAGGTGATAGTATGGAAGGCCTGGCTGGTGTCCATTTCACTGCACCCTGAAGCAGAAGTTGTTTTTGCCTAGCTCAGCTAGGGACAGCTAGGGACAGGTAGTCTGGCTACCTGATAGGATTGACTACTTCTCTACCTTAGCATTCTAAAGAGGTAGAAGTGGGAGGTAGGTCCTATATTCACCATGACACTCTTTTCCTCAGACAGTGAACACAATGCGGCTTGATCTTAATGTCCAGTTCTCCACTGTCTGTTCTACTTAGGAAGAACTATATGGCCTGAGAGTATTATTAATGTGTCTGGGTCTGATGGCTGTCTGTATTAGAGAGTAAAGTATGAGTGTGTGCTGTGGAAATGAGAGAGACAGACTCACCAGCATCACTTGGACAGAGTTGGCCATGACAGCCACATAGGGCTTCAGGATGTCATAGTGGAAGGCTGGGGTCAACATCCGCCGGTGCTGGAACCATTTCGGCCCATTCAAGAGGAGCAAACCATAGCCTGTGCAGGAGATGGGTGTGTGCATGAGTGTGTGAGCGATGAGATCAGAGGGAACAATGCAACACAAGCCTATGATGACAGGATAAGACATCTAAGGAAGGAACATCAGGGACTTCAGTTTGGGAGATAATTTGGAAGCAATACGAAGGGACTATTTGGGAGACACAAAGGGTAGGGCTCTGAGGAAAGAAAACCAGGAAGGAAAATTTTCCTGAATGAAGCCTGACAATTTTCAGAAAAGTGAATTTTCCAATTGGGCATCATCTCATGTGATCATGAGAGCTGCAAGGTAAAGACTGAGAAATATCGAGGGCAGGGCAAGGAAGGACTTAAATAAATGTCAGTCTGAGAATGTTTATAAAACTTTAGGAGGAAATATAAATGAATGTCTCAGGAGAATTCACACCAGCCTGAGGCTAAGGAGAGAAATGAGTCTCTCCTTGTTAGAAGGAGAGAAATGAGTCTTGATTTAGGGATTGGCCATCAGAGTTGTGGACCATCAGGACTTGTTCCCTGGGAGTCAAGAAGCTATGTCTTGGGAACCTGAACTGCCAAGTGATTATGTTTAGGTGTACGTACCAATCCAGGGAGACAGCATTCTATAGGTACCATGAGATTTGGGGTCTGAAAGAAAAGCAAACACCTTTTAGGAAATTGGTTTTGATCAAGTAAAGCGGCCCTGAGACAACTGTGGTTAAGACCATGGGCTGCCAGGTGTTCATGATGACTTTCTTGGCAGTTTGTCCCATGTCACCTCCCACGGTTTCCCATCCCTTCTATCTCTGTCCTGACCATCAGCTGGGCCCAGGAATTCAAACTGAGTACAGCATCTGAGCACCTCAGTGACTACCATGAGAAGGTGGTGAAAAACATAGTCCATGTCCTCAATGCCTGAGGATAAAACAGAGCCTTGTGATTATTCTACAGTTGGTGGTGGTTTTGTTATCCCATCACTGAAGACAGGAGAAAATTAAAGGTATCAAACAATCTGTGTTGTTCTAACATTTCCTTTTTTAGATGTAGGGCAAATATATAGAAGATATCCCTGTTTAAGGAAGTAAGGAAAAAAATAAAAAATAAAAAATAAATCCAGTTACACGAGCTGCTGTAAAGATTCAATGTTCGGTAAATACTGGCCATTGGCTCAGCTGTGGGCTGGAGGGTGGAGGAAGGTACAAGGTTCACACATTGACATTTGAACTGTGTCTGTCTTCTAGAATTTTACAGATTCTAGGACATCTACTCAAAGGAGATGAGCTGCCACTCTGAAGATGATGTTTTACACTCACCTGATCTCCCCAGAATCACCTTCATGTAGTCAGGGTCATATATTACAAGGTGAGCATTGCTACCGCTCAACCAACGAGGAAAGGCGCTTGGGAATTCTTGTGCCCATTTCAGCGTCTGTTGTAGCTCCTGATCCCTTGGGAACTGCAACCAAGGAAAATAAACTCAATAAAGCCTTTCATTCTCTGTCCAGTTTTTGGAGCAGGGGGGAATACTTCAACAACCATGAGGCTGCAGTACTGGATCTATTCACAGGGATCAGAGGCCACGGGTTCTGATTCAGACTCTTGCTGCCTCCCCAGGACTTGACCTAAGCTCAGGTTTTCTCTCCCTGTTGTGCCACCTGGGGACCCTCACTTAGCGCTGCTTTTACAAACTTAACACATAGCAAGTGCTGGATCAGTGTTGGGGAATGCACTTCACAGCGCACAAAACTTTTGCACAGATTTACCTTAGAGGTGAGTTTACCTTGTTTCTTGCAAATTCATAAGTTGAGGTGCTAGCCTTAACACTTCAGCTCATGATTCTACTTGTACATACAGTCCTTATAGAGATAATCAAGGTAAATTTATTTTATTAGAGTGAGCTTTAATCCAGTGTGATGCTGTCTTTATAAAAAAGGAATTTTGGACAGTGATATGGATGGAGAGAAGCCAGTATGAAGCCAGTATGAAGAGACGTAGGGAGAAAATGGCCATCTACAAGTGGAGGTGACTGTTCTGCAACCATGATCTAGGACTTCTAGTCTCAACGTTGTGAGACAGTGCATTCCTTTCATTTTAACCCGCCCATCTACGGTGTTTCATTACGGTAGTTCTAGAAAACTAATACAGTTATGTAATGCTCAAGGCCATGCTGTGGTCAGGAAGGGAGTATCAGTGTACCTATTTCACTGGAGAATGAGGAAACCAATGGTCAATGAAATGGTTATGTGGCTGCATTAAATCCAACCCTGCTGGGGTTCCCATGACCGCCAGTTACCTCTCTATCATATTGCAACTCAGTGCTCTAATCCGCTAATCCTGTGTTGGCAAACTCAGCTTCAATATCTGTCATCTCTGTGTTCTTAAAACTCAGCGTACAGCATGGGATAGAAATCATGCCTTGTTCTTAAAGAAATGAGTAAGTGCATAAAGGAATAAATAAGAGCATGTGAAAGAGTAAGGGAGTCTTCATTAGTTTTCTAATTGCAAGGGACAGATATAATTTTGGTCCGATGTTAAAAACAAAAAAAAGTGCCCTCCATTGGCAGGACCCAGCAGTGACTGGGGCGAAGGGCCCTGGTGACCAGTGACCTGTGGGAAGGCCAGGGACTCCTCCCTCCCTCTGTTGGCAGGGCCCCAGAGACCAGTAGGATCACTAGTGACACAGTAGGGCCCCAGATAGGGTGCACACGGTGGACAGGTGGCACTAGCGGCATGGAAAAGTCTGAAGCAACAGTAACAATATGAGCCAACAGGTGGTAAGTTAGGTGAACAGGCACTGTGCTTGTGGACAAAGACACATGGCATAGAAATGGTCAGGTAGGGCCACCCTGTCCCGCCACCTTTCTAAATAGCCGGGGAGAACTCCAGCCACAGAAAACTGCAAATCCACCTGCAACTTGGCCAGAGTACACATTTCTGGGATCCAATCTGGCCATACCACAGAACTCTAGACATTAGAGGAATTCCACTACTTTTATTTTTCTCTGTCTGATTGGTGTTCCTCTTTGTATTTGGCTAGGTTGGTGTGTTTTGTTTTGTTTTATTGTTTCTCTGTTCTGTTTTGTTTTTCTTTTTGTATGTTTGTTGTTTTTCTCTGTGTGTGTGATTATTTTTGTTTCCTTTTTATTTTCACACTTCTTTTTTTTCTCTTTATTACATGATTTAGATCTCTAACCTTTCTTTTTGTTTTATTCTACTCATCCTCTTCCTCTCTTTCATCAACTATCTCACATGATTTTATGATACTTCCATATGAGTAAACATTGTCTCTGCTTTCTGGTTCAGTTCAGTTCTCCTAGGCCTTCTCTTCCAGTCCTTCCCTCTTGTGCCCTACAATTACCCAAAACCTGGGTAATCATCCTTTGCCCTCCAACCTTGCTCCTACTATATTTAACCTCATTCATCTCTCCATCCTCCCACCTATTGCTCTTAACACCCCCCACAACAGGGTAAAATCACCTTACTAAGTGGAAAATCACTGGTATAACTTGGATTATATTACATAACTTTACAACTTGCTCCTATGGTTAAAGGTGTCAGGCTAACAGTTACCACAGTTTGTCAGTAACCACGCTGTGCTTAAGTCTATTGGTTTTTTTCAATAGATTTTATTGGTACACTTTAGATATACATAATGATCACATGCATGATAGAGAAGTTGTACCTGTACATGATGTAAGTTGTTTATCCCCCATTCCCGTACCCTCCCTTCAACCCTTCCTGCCCTCCCCATTTACAAAACTTTGCTTCCATGTTTTCTTTCTTTTCTCATTCTTTTCCTTTTCCTTCTTTCCTTTCCCTTTCCTCTCCCCATTTGAACATTTTCCTCCTGTTTCAAAATACATTTGGGTCCTTATTTACACTTTTGGTTTCTCACCCCAGAGAAACAATGTGGTATTCACAAATGTGTGTCTGATTTATTTCATTTAAGAGTATGGACTCAGTGTGCATCCATTTCCCTAGAAATGTCTTGAGCATATCCTTCTTTATAGCAGAGTAGTACTCCGTTGTATAAAAACCCCCATATTTTCTTTATCAGTTCACCAGTTGATGGGCACTTGGGTTGTTTCCATATGTCACTGTGGTAAGATGCTTTTAATTCTTTTGGTAAGATGTCCTTCATTAAATTGATTCCTAGGTATTTCATTTTGGGGGATGCTATTAAGAAAGGTATCATTTCTCTAATTTCTTTCTCAGTGAGTTTTTTATTCATGTACAGGAAGACTATTGATTTTGAGTGTTAACCTTGTATCCAGTTACACTACTGAAGCTGCTTATTAGATCTGGCAGTCTTCAGTGGAGCTTTTGGGATCTTCCATGTAGAGTACCGTTATCTGCAAACAATGATAATTTCACTCCTTCCTTTCCTATCCTTGTTTCTTTTATTTCTTTTTCTTGTCTAATTGCTCTGGCTAAAGTTTCCAGAACCATATTGAATAAGAGTAGAAACACCCTTGGACATCCTTGTTATGTCCCTGATTTTATAGTAAATGCTTTTAGTTTTTGTCCATTTAGTATAATGTTGGCTGTTAATTAGTTATAGATGATTTTTATCAGATTGAGCTAAAGACCATCTATTCCAGTTTTTTGTAGGGTTTTTCTCATGAATGGGTGTTGGACTTTGTCAAAAGCTTTTTCTGCATTTATTGAGATGATCAAATGGTTTCTGTCCTTGGTTCTGTTAATATGATGTTTTAAATTTATTGATTTACACATGTTGAACCATGCCTGCATCCTGCATCACTGGGTTGAATCCCATTTGGTCACGGCGTACAATCTTCTTGATGCTTTACTGCATTCTGTTTGCCAGTGTCTTATTGAGGATTTTTGCATCTATGCCTGGTCATGCTCACCAGTGAAATATTGGTATTATAAGAGGTAGAAATGCTCTATTGGTGATCAGAAGTTGAGAAGTGATTCAGCACCATCAGTAATATTGCTTGTGCGTGATAATCTCTGTTGATGTACAAGCTATCTAATGTTCATCAGTGTAATGGGAATGTCATTGGAGAAGTCTTTAGTGAATTTTTTTATGTTAACTAGTAGCTCATGAAAAGCATTGTTCAGCTGGAGACAACTACATGAAGCAAAAGGTCTGAGATGGAGATATAGGCACAAGCACCTGCCTGGCAAGTGCAAGGTCTTGAGTTTGATTCCCAGTACAAAAAAAAAAAAAAAGAAAAGAAACAAAAGGTCACAATGTTTCAAAAAAAAAAATCTAGAAGTCATTAGTGTAGCAAGCTACAGGATTAAACATAGACTATTGGGCTTTGACTATTTCTCGCTGGCTAAGGTTAATAATTTCTGTATTTGGTTCTCCTGTAATGACAATCATTTGACCTTGAAGTAGAAAAGAGTGGCCTAGGGACTTTGGGGAAGGTGGTGGAATGATGAGCAACAGAGAAAAAGCCTCTCCAAGATTTTGTGTCCAGATGCTCAAATTCAGCTACACGAGAAAGAGGAGGAGGGAAGTGAGGACCCAGCAAAGATCTGAAGTGAGAATTGCAGCCCAGAGGGAGAGAAAAGTGAGAGACTTCAACAAAGAAAGAGGTAGAAAATGGCTGTTTCTCCCTGAGCCCTAACTCACTACACAGGAGGGGCACCTCAAACCTGCAGATACATCATGACTACTAGTGACCCCAGAGCCCACGTGGAGAAGTGCACCGGTGAAACGGAGCAATGGATACAGCAGACTGCACTGGTTGGTGAGTTATTCTGGTTCAGACATCTCCCAAGAGAGGGCAATTGACTGGTAGCCATCTTGGAGAGAGACCAAGAGTTTGAAACTCAGCTCAGCTGTCGACTGGCTCTGTCTGTCAGGGTGAGGCAGAACTGAGTTCAAATTGGCAGGAGGTCAAGCCTGCAGGGAGCAGATGTTCAACATCACTGGTCATTTGAGAGATGCAAATTAAAACAACACTGAATTTCTACCTCACTCAAAAAAGAATGGCTATTATCAAGAAATCAATCAATAACAAATGTTGCCAGGAGTGTGGGAAAAAGGAATCATTCTCTACTGTTAGTGAGAGTGTAGACTGGTGCAACCGCTGTGGAAATCAGTGTTGAGATTCCTCAAACAACTAGGACTGCAGGTTCGATTTGATCCAGCTATTCCCCTTCTGGGTATCTTCCCAAAAGAGTTAAAAACATCACGCCACAACAATATATGCACACCCTTATTTATAGCAGTATAATTTGTAATAACTAAATCTTGGAAATGGCCCAAATGCCCATCAACTGATAAGTAGATAAAGAAGATATGGTTTTTTAAAAAAATACAATGGAGTACTACTGTTATAAGGAAGGATAAACTTAAGACACTCTAGCTAGGTGGATGCACCTTGAGACCATACTCTTAAGTGAAATAAATCAGACACACATGTGTAAATACCACATTGTTTCTCTGGTGTAAGAAATCAAAAGTTTAAATAGGGACCAAAATGTATAATAGATATTGGGAAATGGAAAGAAATTGTTCAAATGAGAGGGGGAACAAGGGAGGGGGAAGGGAGAAAGGAAAGAAAGGATTAAAAAAGAATAGAAGGCAAAAAAAAGGTTTTTGTAGATAAGGAGGGAAGAAGGGCTGAATGGAGGGGAGGGGAATAGGAATAAAAGAAGAATCAGGATATACCATGTACAGGTACAAATTCTCTACGGTGAATGTTACCATTATGTATATCAAAAATGTACCAATAAAAATAAAAAAGAAAATTCTTGCCAAAAAACCTTAGGTCTGTGACTAAATTCTTCCCCAGACTGAACACTGCAGGTCAGCCCCCAGGCTGCTGTTTACCTTCCTTCTTCTGCCATTCTCTGCATCCATTCCAAACTCTCTGTTAGTACAGGGAGCAGAAGGTATGTTGAACTCTGAAGAGCTCACAGTCCAGTGTGTGCAGGAGGAGAGCCAGAGCTAAGTGGACAATGATTAATGGGACAACTCAAATTTCTGTCTTCCTCACCTGCAGGATGTAATGCAACTTTCCCCCTCATATGTGCTCCCAATGGGCATTTTAGGAGTTTGCACCCTAAAATACCCATTCTGAACAATTTCTTGTTGTCAGGCAAATCAAATCAAGTTGCCCCCCACCTGACAACACACTCTCACCACAGTCAAGTGAACATTATTTGGTTGTGAAAGCCTCCTGACATTTGTGTCTGCTGTCACCACACACCAGGAGCCCCGCAGAGCAGGAATTCCAATATCTTGATGCCAGTGTTCCCGGGCAAACACACAGCTAGGCATAGGGATACCAGTGAGTGTCTGGGACAGAGGCACATAGAAATCTGTGTGCTTAATTTTGTTTCTAGAAAAGAAGTGACTCAGGGAAGGGACAACCTCAACCTTCCAGATGTTGGACTGTCAGGACAGAAGACACATCTGCACAAGAGAGGAAAGTGTGACCCAGTTGAGTGACAGTCAGACAGGTTTCTTGTGAAGGAGTGAGCTCCCTGTCACTTTGATAATCCCAGCCTCAGAGGTATGCTAAGCATTCCTTGGAAGGCACAAGCTTATCATGTAAGAGGCTGGAGATGTAGGTTAGTGACAGAGTACTCAACTAGTATGTGAAGGCTTCATGTTTTACCTGTAGCACTACAACAAAACGAAACAGTCCCTGCCTCATGGATTTGCTGACCAGGGTCTCGGAACTCCAGCCCTCCCTTCCCTTTCACTACCTTGTCCATCTCCTTCTTACCTGCTGTTTGTGCCCGAAGAACCAGTGTGGGGGTGGACACGGGAACTGCTGGAGAACTTTGAACAGCCATTGTCTGTGCAGGTAGAACTGGGCTGCCTTGAACAGCAGCAGAAACAGGCCGAGTAGGGAGGCCACTTGGAGGAGCCCAGAGACGCTGCCTGGGAATCTAAAGAGGCTGAGTGCAGAGACGCTCATTGTGCAGTGGCTTCTGGATCACTGATCATCACTCACTGCAACTAACTCTCCCAACTTTTCCTGCTTAAATCTGGGAAGCTCTGCCCTGCCTACCAGTGGGAGGGATATGGGTGGGAGCAGTTAGACCTCAGAGTCCAGAATTGGTTAACCTGAATGATCCCACATGGGCAAACACTAAGAGGTAAGGTTTACTAGTTTATAAGGGTAATGGCCATGTACACCCTTACACTTCCTTCTCCATATAGCTCACAAATACTTAATGAGTACCTACTATGTGCCAAACAGTATGCTGTGTGGGGCAGAGTTATAAAAAACAGATATGAATCCCAATTTCAATTTCAATACTCATTGTCTAGTTTATCAAAACCTCAATAAGAGTGGCTGGTTGTGCTAGTATCATGATTTTAGTGACCAGGAACTGATTTCAGAGAAGTAAATAATGTACGAAAGGAAAAGAGCCATTGAGAGTCCAAGGCAACATTAGCAAAGTTCTCTGTTAGAGTATTAAACTGCTTCCTCCAGCTGCCTCTGAAATGTTCCCCACAGCTTTTCCTATCCACTCTTCAGGTATGAGACAGGTGACTGTGCTGGTGGATGGAGCAATAGACTTGAATTCAGGGACACAAGGCATGAGTCAGTCTCAGTACAAATGTAGCCAGCCACGTGTCCCCTCTGAGCTTAGTGTCTTCTGTTTGGTGGCATAATAATTCCCTTTTCTAAGTATTTCACCCATAGGTTATTCTTCCACACATTCATTCATTCCATAAAAAGTGTTGACCTTACAATCTTGTGGTTAATGTCAGAAAACAAAATCAGCACAATATAATAACCCTGTACTGAAAAAAATAAAACGTCAGTGCAGAGAAGAATACTTAAAAAGAATAAGAGAATAGAGTCTTAAAAGATGAAAGAGGAGTTTGCTAAGGGAGAATGTACATAACTGCCTACATGCCAACAAAGTCATGGAGATCATACATGAAAGAACAAGGCAGGAAAAAAAGTGTTCATCTTCAAATTGCCATCTTCACTTTTTCCATGATTATTTTCCCCAAGATCAAACCCAATTCCTAGAAACCAGAAGGGAGACATTAAACATATTCCAAGATAATGCCTTGGAAGCCAGCTGTCCGTGGCTCAGTAGTTTCCTCCTGCTGTGCTCCCTGACCCATTGAAAAAATTTCCCCCACATTTTCATCCTCTCGCTACTTCTTGATGGGTAACTCATTACTCAACTGATAGTGACAAAGTTCTCTTTTCCGCCTACATGCTCAGCCCTATTCATGATCAAGGCCAGGTGGAATATAGCTTCTTATCCATGAACCTGATCTTTGTCAAACTTCTCTCATTTATTTATTCATTCTCTGGTCTTTACTTCCCTGTTCCTCTGGGACTCAGGACTTTCCTCAACACTATAGTATTGTGAAAGTTGCTAAAACCAACGTAAATCATTGGTGTTAGACCCCTACAAAATTAGAGCCAGGAAAAAATGAAATCCCTACTTGCCCTACATAAGTACTATTTTAAGGAATTTCTTTAAACTCATATAAGAAATTTCTTCATGTTTACCTGCACCCCATACTTTGCATGCCTTGTATATATGCAGATATTTCTTTAACAAAGTTTAAGTTTTAGGCCTGCAGCAATTCACATAAGGTGCTCTTGATAGCACACTTACCCACCAATTGCACCTCCTTCAGCGATCCTTTGCTAAGTCTTGCCTCAGGCATCTAAGACAGATGAATCTTGTATCCTCTCAGAGCACTGGGTTGCCAGGATTTTTTAAGGAATTATGCTATTAAGAATTTTTAAAATTCATAATACCTATGCAGAAAATTGTTTTTGCTTTGGCATACTTAAACATGCATATAGTATAGTTTGATCATTAAGAATTTTTAAAGGAAAAATGTAAAAAGCCTAAAAAAGAAAATACACAAGAAAGCCAGCAATGGCATAACAAATCGAGTTCGCCTGATAGTTATGGACCATCAGCTTAGTCTTAAAGGTAACTAATTGGGTAAAGCAAAGACCTTGGAAGGAACTTGGTGAGAAATGCTTTAGTTCTTAAGACTCTCATTTTATGCAGTTGGGTTTCAGTTTCCCCTGAGAGATTTATCCTGGTAGAGCATCTAGTATTAACAATAGAACAAACACTTACTTTTCCAACTGATAGACAACATACATTGATTTTATGTTTCAATATTCCATGATTAGGTTGAATTAAAATTATTATAGATCACACCCAGTAATAATCAACAGTTAATGCACTGGGCCTTAGGCTTTCCTTTGTTCGGAGAATTTTTACAACTACCTCGCAATCTCATTGCTTGTTATGAACATGTTTGAGTGTTTTAATTTTGTTGGTCTTATGTATCTAGAAATTTATTCATTTCTTCTAGATTTTCCAATTAATTGGAATATAAGTTTGCAACAGAGTTCTTCTTTATGTCAATGGTATGTGCTGTTACATAGTATTTTCACCTCTATTCATTAGTTTAGGTCTTTTCTCTCATTTTCCTTTTCACTCATCTTATCAATTTTCTTTATGTTTTCCAAGAAGCTACTTTTTGTTTCATTGATTCTCTGTATTGTTCTTTTAGTCTCAACCTCATTAATTTCTGCTCTGGCCTTTTATTATTTCTTTCCTTTTATTGATTTTAGGTTGGAATTGTTCTTGACCTTGAAATACATCGTTAGGTTATTCTCGGATTTTTAAGTGTAGACATTTATAAACTTTCCTCTTACCACTGCCTTCACTGTAACCTACAGATTCTGATATGTTATGTTGTCACTATCATTTGATCTTGGGAGATTTTTAAATTCCCTCCTGATTTCTTAAATGATCCCCTGATTGTTCAACATGTATTATTCAATCTCAAGGTATTTGTATAATTTCTGGGGTTTTTCTGTTGATTTCTAGATTTATTTCATTGTAACCTGATAGGATTCATGAGATAACTTCAATTTTTGTATTGTTAAGATTTGCATTATGACCTAAAATATAGTCTACTTTGGAGAAAATTCTACCAGCTACTGAAAGGAATGCGTTTTTCACTGCTATTGGATTTTTAAAAATTTATTTTATCTTATATTAAAGAGAATAGTAAAAAATGAGCAATAGCAAGATACAAACAAAACAAAGTAAGAACATTAAACATTATAGGGGGTTTCAAACTAACTGATAGGAATTAACAATGGCTGTTATATTACATATTGTTATCTTCAATGAAGTTGTTCAGATTAGCAGATGTAAAAAGGGAAGATTGATCAGACCATTAATGAGAATAAGAAAATAATAATTTAAAAAAACATTAGAGACAATACAGAGTTTCACTAGACAAGATGGTAGGAACTTATCAATGGTTGTTATATTGTATATCGTTGTCTTCATACAAGTTGCTCAGATTACCAGATATAAGCATGCAAAATTGGTCAAATTAAAAAAAACTTAAGCACTAACTGTTCCTTTCAATAAAACACCAGACATCAGCAGTGCAGTACAGTTATCCCAGATATCTATCTATCTATCTCTGTATCTATCTATGTATCTATGTATCTATCTATCCATCTTATATATATATGTATATATATCGCCTTAGTTCTTTCTTTTCTTCTTTCCCTCATCCCACTCATTCCTTTCTTTGAGCAATTTTGTTCCCTTTTGTACTATCTATTGTACCTTTCAGGTTTTATTTACTCTTTCCTTTTCTTACACTAGGGAGACAATATGATGTTTACACATGCGGGTCTGATTTATTTCACTTATGAGTATGGTCTCTAGTTGCATCCATTAGCCTATAAAAGCCTCGAGTTTATCTTTTTAAATAGCTGAGTAATACTCCACTGTATAAAAATACCACAACATTTTTATCCATTCCTCCGTGGATGGGCATCTGGGTTGTTTCCAAGATTTAGCTATAACAAATTGCACTGCTATAAACATGGACAAACATATATCGCTGTGGTATGATGTCTTTAATTCTTTTGGGGAAAAAACCCAGGAGGGGAATAGCTGCGTTAAATGGGACTTCCAATCCTAGTTTTGTGAGGAATCTCCACACTGATTTCCACAGTGGTTTCACCAATCTATACTCCCACCAGCAGTGGAGTAGGGTTCCTTTTTCCCCAGAGCCTCTCCAGCATTTGTCACTGGTTTCTTAATGATGGCCATTCTTTCTGGGGAAAGATGGAAACTCAGTGTTGTTTTAATTTGCATTTCCAAATGACTAATGATTTTGAACATTTTTTCCATGTATTTATTCACCATTAGTATCTCTTTATTCGAGAAGTGTGTATTCATCTCAGGTGCCCATTTTTGGATTGGGTCTTTGAATTTGGGGGGCCTGATTTTCTTCAATTCTTTGTATGTCCTAGATAGAAGTCTTTTGTCTGAGAGGCAGTTGGCTAAAATTTTTTCCCAATTTGGGGGTTTTCTTTTTACTTTATTGGTGATTTCTTTAGATGTGCAAAAGCTTTCAATAAGATGAGATCCCAGTTGTTGATTCTTTGAAGTATTTCCCGTGCTGTTTGGTTTTTGTTCATGAACTCTCTGGCTATCCCAATGTCATCAAGATTTTACCTACTTTCTCTTCCAGTAGATTTAGTGTTTCTGTTTTAATATTTAGATCTTTGATCCATTTTGACTTTAACTTAGTGTATGGTGAAGGACACAAGTCTAGTTTTAGTCTGTGGCATGTGGAAAGTCAGTTTTTCCAGCACCATTTATTAAAGAGGCTATCTTCCTTCTATTGAACGTATTTGGCCCCTTTGTCAAAGATAAGGTGACCGAGTGTGTTTGTAGTTGTATCTGTATCTTTTAATCTGTTCCACTGATCTTCAGGTCTGTTTTTGTGCCAGTACCATGCTGATTTTATCACAGTAGCTTTGTCTTATAATTTTAAGTCAGGAATTGTGATGCCTCCTGCCTTTCTTTTATTGTCCAGGATTGCTTTTGCTATTCCAGGCCTCTTCTGGTTCCAGATGAATTTTAGGAACGTTTTCTCTAGATCTGTGAGGTATACTAATGGTATTTTAATTAGGATTGCATTGAATCTGTAC